TCATCATCATCATCATCATCATCATCATCATCATCATCATCATCATCTCTTTTTCTTTCCATACGATCCATACGCTCATCGGTGATGAAGGCGTGGATCCTGGTGATCCGCCTGGGCTCCGTAGAGCCTTCCAGCTCAATCAGCTTTTAGCTGAAGGTCTGGTCAAGCAGTCTGGCAAGGTGCTCCCTTGCCCTGACCGGCTGGCTTGACCTCAAGGCCAGGTGCAAAATGCCAAATTGACCTCAGGCTTCACCGAACCTCGTGGCAGGCTCGGAACCCTCGGGCCTCCAGGGCAGGGCATGTGGATTGAGCTCGGTCATGTAGTCCACGTAGTAGTCCACGGTGATTCCTCCAAGAAGCAAAAGAAGGAGGCCTGCCCTGGCTGGGGACTTGGGACCCCAGCTAGCTCGTGCTGCAGGTGCAAGGACCTGGGAGGCTGTTCTCGATGGCCTGGATCGTTGTCTTCTCAAGGAGGAGGAATCCTGGTAGTTCTCAAAGTTCCAGAGGAGAAACAGGTAAAACACCTGAAGGAAGAGAACCACAGCCAGGATGACCGCACCAGCCTCAGGAACAGTCACGCAGTGTTGCCTTTGAGATAGTCCTCCAGGAAGCGTGATGTAGTGCCGGTTGAGGAGGATCTCCAAAACCGAGGTGGTCAGGTTCTCCCGCATGACCATGGGCGTGGGGGGTCCGCACCAGCCCGTACCTATTGAAGGTATAGGGCCTGAGAGCTAGTGGCCCTTATCATCATCATCATCATCATCATCATCATCATCACAGCCGATTTCCATGCGTTGGAAGGGTCGAAACGACAAGAGAGCTTACATGTCTCTTTGTTTGGGGGGGGCTCTCGCGAGAGTTGCGGTGACGTGCATCTTCTGGCCGTTCCTCGTTCGTTTCTTCAGCAAGTCTCGTGGCTCAGGAAGGACCAATCCTGGTTCCAGGGACATCCCAATCTGCGCTTCTGGTCCACAGGACGCGGCCCGCTTCCACCGATCCGAAAGGGGCTTCCAGAGGCTGCGCTTATCCGGGTAGGTCGGATCGTCGCAAGCTGAGAGTGGGAGTTTTGTTCAAGGGAGTTCGAGGTTGATCCAATGCTCCTTCGGTTTGATATATTCAAGTCTTTGTAGTGACTAATCAAATCTGGAGGTTTTCCATCTGATTTTAACCTCGGATTCCTGTCCACAATCTTGCGGCTTGGTAAAAAACCAGACTCATCGGACATGAATGTGGGTAACGCTTTGATGTGGGTAACTTTTGAGCCCAGAAATCGAGCTCATCAAACCATTGAGGTTGCTCGCGATTTCGAACATTCAGAATTCCCATGCCTGACATGGGGGAGACACGGCTTGAAAAGAAACTTAAGCGGGGACTCTACTAGTAAGATTGGAATTAACGTATATTCTTTGATCCGTGCAGTTTTGAAATGCTTTTGACCAGAGTGACCTAGCTTGTCTCGAAGCCCTGGCAGTGGCCTAACGTGCCATGGCTCACTCAGCAACAGAATCAAACCAACTCTCATGTTTTGTTTGGCCCTGGCAGTGGCCACTGCTGCCTTTGCAAACCTACTTCCTACATCTTGCTCACCAAAGCTCTGGCCCAACCTGACCCATTCTCCCCCCTTCCACCAGCGGTGAAAAGAGCGCTGCCAAACCCACCAGGATGCGATTTGAACTTCTTCCATCCCTCGAAAGCGAAGCCAACCAGCCGTGAGCTTTGCAGCAACCACCGGCCTGATCTGCCTCTGGTAGTCTTTGTGGGAAGGCTTTCACCAGAGAAGCAGGTGGTTGCTGCGTGGATGGGGGGCATGACTCGCCTTTCCTTGAAGGGCGGTTCTCGACGTCATAGTCGGTGAACAATCATATGTTTGCTCGAATCGCTCCACATGCATCCCTGTTGCCATTAAGTCAATATATGTCAATATATATAATATATATGTCTATGAGAGCAGTTTGGGCCAAACTCGATCAAAGATTTCTGCAATTGTTCAGTGTCTTTTGGCAGTTGTTTTGACTGGTACTTAGTAGGGAATAGGGGAATGAGCCCCCGATAGAGATTCCATTGGATCCATTCCCTCATTTCCTACTAAGCACAAGTCGGTCTTTTGATGGAGGGGCAAATGATTACAAAGCTGGAAAGTCTAGGCCGAGCTGCGATGGGGGGGGTTGACTGCAAAATCCACCCATGTATTCCATCCAGCGGTTCACAGCAGATCTTTTTGATCTTGGCTGTTGAGGCGGAATATCATAGTCATTGTTATTACACTATTTGGCGGAATACCATCTCAATATCTCGTGCTCGAATCTCGTGGCCTTTCCCATCGTTTCAAGCTTTGGCCCTTTTGTTCCAGGTGGACAAGTTGGTGGATTTGGTGAAAGTCACCAATCCACCCGGCGAACGGGAGCTCTGCCGCTTCGCCATCATCGGAAACGGGGATAGCTGGGAATCGATCCATGCGGAGATCGGCGAGCGGCCGGATGTCTACATGCCCGGCGCAGTGGTAGGGGAGGAGAAGTTGGGCAAGAACGTGGTGTTGGTGTTGGGTGAGAATTCCCAAAACACGACGGGACTAATGGGACTGCCAGGACGGACTGCCGCATATATGCCAGAGCCCCCCTGGCACCAATGTATACCAGTCCCATCTGTCGTGTTTGGGGATTGGCACAGTCCTTCCTCTGACGTGCTTCGCCCTTGACCTTCGTTCCGCCTTCAGAAATCCGGCCACGGTGGCCGGACGAATTTGCTTCGTTCCTGTGGTGTCTTCGCCACGGAGACCCTGTATCGCCTGGGGGAGTGGGGGGGAGATTGAAGTGAAGTTTTGTGGGAAACTCGCTAACAGGAGCCTCTTCCAATGTTAGCCATCTATGTAGTTCAAAATACTGCATACAGTACTTGGCCTCTGTTCCAAAGTGGAAATTCAGGTGTTCAATTCGTTGGTTATTGGGGTGCTCGAGCTGGGCTTGATGAATATAGGGAGGTTGGCTGCTCAGCTGCCGACGTCTCTCTTCAACCCGTCCCAGTTGGCCGCGAGGAGCTGGCGAGCGCGGTGGCCTCGGCAGACATCTTCTTCTCGCCCACGGTGACTTGGTCGTCAAGCAGGACTCGGTCGTCAAGCTGGGACGCCATGATCACGAATGGGAAAACACAGTGAATGGGACTGGAGATAAACATATACCCTGAGAGTCAATAGGGGAAAGAGAACTTCCTTTACTTCAGCCGGTCAAAATATACACTCCGGAATACTCGTTTTCCTCGCAACGGAATCCTTTGGAGTGGTGGAAACACCGACCTTCGGCGAGAAATTCGCTTCTGGACCGTCGCCCAGCCGACCTGGACCACCGTCGCCCTTCACATCGGTTGAAGAGCCCTAGTTCGGCTATCCTATACTATACCCCAGAACACTCCATGGGACTGGTATATTTACCGATCAGTTGGGGTGGTTTTGGAGGTCAATGTAGGCATATATGGCAGTCCCATGGAGTGTCTGGGATAGGTACCCCTGTAGGGTCCTATTTACGGTCACTGAACCTCTGTAGGTCCCTTAGACCCATTGGCGGACGCGGCAGACGCGGACGCGGCGCGGCGCGACGCATCATGCAGGTCACTGGGACGTTGGACTTGGTCTTCATCGAGTCGCAGGCGGCGGGCTTGGCAGTGGTCGGCCCCCGCGCGGTGGCGGTGCCCTTGGAACCTTAGTGGCAGGGACTGGTGGGACAGGTGGGAGGATCTTTCTGGGGGGTGATGGGTGCTTTTTTTGGGATGAGATTGGAGGGTGGTAAAGGCAGGTGAGGAAGGCAAGCAAGTACACTGACATGTAGCTGAGTAGCTGAGAGCAACCCCCAGGAAGGAGCCCAGGTGTTGTCCCCCCCCCCAAAACTTGATATATGGCCTGTTACCCAATATAAGGAAAGGGTGTGTCCTGGGAGCGCGCACAGATGCACCAATTTGGCAAAGCATCACAGATGCGCTCATGCATGGCGCTACTGCGTGGCGCTACTGCGCATGTTTTAGAGTGAACACCGGGCGACTGGTGCTTTTCCCATGCAGAGGTGCAGAGAGGGGATCTGAAACACAGAGGTGCAGGGTGTGAAGATAGGGAGACCGGTCCGATCCCGTCCAAGAATGGATGTTTAGATCAGTCTACCCATTGAGGCAGGGGGGTCGAGACCGGTCTCCCAATGGTCCAAAGAAGACCTACTAGCGATGGCCTACTAGGACTCAAAGCTTATAGGAATGGCCTCCAACATAAGAGCGATGGCCTCCAATCCACTAGCGATGGCCTCCAACCTACTAGGGATGGCCTCCAACCTAAACCTAAGAGCCATATACACACCCATATACAGGTTCCTGGAATCATCGTTTCGTGACCTTCACTTCTGTGCTCTAACAGGTCTCGTGACGGTCGGCTCATCCCAGTCGGGGGCCGTTCTGCCATCCACGCGCCACGATCACGATGACCCACGTAACGGTCTGGTGACCCCGTTCGACTTCTGGTGCTCCAACAGGTCTCGTGAAGGGTTGTTGGCCTCTAGTAAGTCTCAACCGGTGACCTGGCAGTGAGGATGCTGGTAGGCGCAAAGTGCTTGTGCTTTTTTCTTGGCTCTTATGTTGATCTAGTGATGGCGGTCATGATGATAAATGATAACTGATGATAGCTGATCCATATCCTCATGTTCGAAATTCATCAGCATTTCTCCAAACATATTCTATCTGAGTGGCTGGTTCTTCTATCTTGTAGTCAACTCCCACGGCTTTTCGAGGTCGTCGCTGATGGGGAGAACGGCCGCTTGTACGATCCTCTGGACATGGAGGATGCCAAGAGAGCCATCAAAGACATCATTGATGGGAAGAGTCTGGCGCCGCGGCGGAGAGTCTGACGAGACGATAAAAAGGGACGGAGGAGGTATTCGTCAAGGAATGCATGGGGAGGCAACTAGGTTGGAGGCCATTGCTATTAGGTTAGAGGCAACCAGGTTCAGTTTGTACCTTTTGGCAAATGAGGCGCGGTACTTTCAGGAGAGGGAGGTGAAACCATGCGTGTTGCCTGTAGCGTGCAGCTCTTTTTTTTTGTTTTGTCTGTGTTCCATTGTGTTCCATGATCATTTTAATGTTTCCTGTTTTTTCCATGTTTTTCCTCTCCATTTCCTTTGTGTGTGTTGCTCCATCGTACTCCAGAGAGGATGTACACTCCCTGGAATCATCATGGTTGCTTCGTGTTGCTCCCAGTCTATCTACACCACAAGGTCTTTGCCGAAGATACACTCCCTGTTTTCTCATCCTGGTGATGTGGATGGCAGGGCCCTGAGGGCTTCGGAAGACCATGAACTAACAGCTGGTGAACTCCACTTCCATGATACTTTGTGTCATGGACTCCCCCCCCATGGTCTGATCGATCGGCTTCTTCTCCGTCACATGTGGTGGGACTTGGTCATTCATCGATGGTTCCGGTTCTCCTTCCGAGTAAAAAAAGACTCACCTGGGTACCTTTTTGGGGTGCATGAGACATTTGACCGTCTTTGCCCTAAGGGTCCAGGACCATCCGTTGCTCGGATGTCCGTCCTGTCCTTTGGCCCCAGTTCGGCCATTCGAAGTACGAACTCACCTCCGTTCGACCATCCGAGCAACGGAGGGTGCTGGACCCTTAGGTTGAGAATGGAATGGTCTGGAAGATTTGGAGTTTGAGCATCCTTTCGTATATCCTTTTCAGCAACTTCTTTGGTGTTTGGTGCCGTGCACTCTGTAGAATTTACCCCCCCAAAAGACCCAAACCGAATCGGACCAAACCAAATCCACCAACAAATCCACCAACAAACCCAGCAACAAACCGACCAACCCACCAACCGTCTCAAGAACTACTAAACCTAGACCTTGAATCCCTGGGCGACCGATGTTTGCGTGGAGATCCCACCAACGTCTCGCCTTTGAGGAGCAGATGAAGGTCGCTGCCCGGGCCAATGCTGCGAAGAACTTCACTTGGTCCAAGTGCAGCGAAGAAGCGATTCAGCTGCTCGGCTTGGGGTGAGCCAATCAGTTTCTATCAGCTTCTGAAACCGGAACCAAAAGCATCCCCCAATGCTTCGTCATGTCTTGGTTCGTTCCATGGCCGCGATGGAAGGGCGGAAGAAGGGCCGTAGCTCGTCGTCCGCCCCAAGTCCCTCCGCGGTTGGACCATGACCGCTCGCGAAGCGACCGCATCGATGCTGCAAGCGAGATGGCGAGTTTCTATGCTTCGCTTGCGGCGTGCATGGCTTTTTTTTGTAAGAATGGGTCTGGGTCGGGCCGTAGATAGACATGACAAATCCATATCCGGTGTGAACATGTCTCCTACAATATAGGTGCTGGTCTTTTGATGGGAACAAGTTGGGAGCCGACCGTTCTTGACGTAGTGGAATCGGTCCGGCAGTGTTTGACTGACTGCGAACTCTACGTCAGACGCAGTGGATCTGGAGGATTTTTGTTCTGACAATCATTTGAAACGGCTGGGTGACGACATCTACGCAGGACTGGTGGTCTGTGGCGAAACGCCTCAAAAAACACCGTAAAGACCATCCCTGGAAGGGGGTATATACCAAGACCTTCACTGCCAGGTCACCACCTGCGACACCCTTAAGTCATCTTAAGTCTACAAAAGCCTTCATGTCGGAGACCTGTTGGAAGGTGCTGGTATAGTTATACTATACTGTCACCCTACCTCACCCTACCTCACCGGTTGTTTTCCTTGGCGGCGGCGTTTTCTCCGGATGGACCCGTTCGGGCGATGATGGTGTCTAGCGAGCTTCAGACATCGGTCTCGACGGAGCGAAGACATAGCGCTTCATAAGTCGACGTAGTCGACAGCTATAGCTGAGCTTCTAGCCGAACGGAAGCAATTCGTCGACATCCTTCCTTAGTGGTAATGGGAGGAATGCAGAGTTTGACATGGAATGTTACACACGCGACGAGTCGAAGCTTCAAAGACCGCCCCCGTTCGTCTCGCTGGCGGGACAACGAAGGAGCGCCCCGTTCGGTTCGCCGAACGAACGCTCCGGACGGACGTTCGTGAGAAGAGCGGGTTCGGTTCGGAAGAGGAACAGACCAGTCCCAGTTGGGTTCGGAGCCAGACAAAGGCCAGCCAGGGCCTGGTGGTCTCCTCCTTTTTTTTTCCACACCCGGTGGTTTTGGGACATCCCGGTCATCACCTCCACCTCTATTTATAGACACCTCGAACGGAAGGTCCTGGCAGCCATGGTTCTTTTTTCCCTGGCACTCACCGGACGAAGCCATTTCGTTCTGCACTTTTCTGTGCAGGTTTTACAAGGACGTGCTGCAGTACTTTGAACTGCACGCGTGAGCGGTAGACTCTGTAGACCATCTTCCTTTGGCAGTTGGCCAGCGCAGAATTCCGATCTGCGAGACATGAGACATGAGACATTGGAGGGCCTGGACCCCGCTGGGAGAGTTTCTGTTGGGCCAGCCGGACCCGTTCAGACGCGGACCTGGATGCGTCGAGTCTGGGGGTTTTTCATGCTTTTGCTTCATTTTGCAACGACAATGGGCCAATGCAAAGCATTGTCCATTCATGCACTAATTCGTCTGGGTATGTCTCAAACCGAGGGGGCCTGTTCTTTTTTTGGCCACACGGCAACGCAGCAACGGTTTAGGAAGGTGTGGGACTAAGAATAACTTGAAGATAACTAGTGTAAGTAGTTCATGTGCTACTTTTACACAAGGCATGTATTGCTCTACACCCTATGCTTGGTGGATGTAGTTGACACATGTTGACAAGCTCTGTTTTGTCGTTGCAGACCAGGTTTTCCCAAGCCTTAGAACAGAAGCAGGCTGGCACAGGGAGTAGAGGTTCTGTTGACACCCCCAAATCACTGAGCCCTTGGGCCATAGCACGGGGGGGACCTCAAGTGAAGCTCTTCAGACACACCCAGATGGCTATGTTGACAACAACCCCCAGTGGGTGGTTCATATGTTGTCGAGCCACACCCAGGGCATGGATGAAGACACCACAGGACACCACAGGTTTGTTACATCCACATCCACTTGATCTAGATGATCATGGGTCAGATGGATGTGCTTTTCATTGCTTGTCAAAGTCGACCAGGCTCTCTTTTGAGACGACCCATGTACCGGCAACCTTTTCACATCATTTCCTCTCTGGGGGCTTGAGTTGGTTTGAATACATTCTCACTCGATCTCTTGTGGGACGGCTCAGATGAATGGAGAGATCACGGCGCTATCATCGCGAGAGATCACGGCCGGGTGCTGTGTGATCCCCACCGCTCGCTCCGCCTGTTTCAGAGGGCGGGTGATGATCTCATCAAATTCTAATTCTTGTTCCTAATAGAATTCTTGTTACTAGTAGCAAGGCCAGGAGCCCTGTTCGTAGCCTCCGAACGCTCCGTTCGTAGCGATGCCAGGGTCGCCCGTTCGTAGCGTCCTGGCTCTAGACTGAGGGTTTTTGAGGGTAGAACAATTGATGACTCATATGGAGGGATCCGTACCCTCAGATGGAGGGGTTTGGGGTCTCAAATCCTCAAATCCCGGTTTTGCAGGGGAACAGTCGGGCTGTCTGGAGCATCTGAGCCCAACAGAAGCCCTCACCTTCATCGGACATACCGGGGACCTGGACCCGTGGGCAAGTCCAGGCTTCGCAACCAGGTCTGCATGGGGGAGTTCTCTTGGTACCAGGGAGTACCCTCCAATGAAAACATGGAAATGGATGGCATGCCCCAACTGGGAAAGACGATTTTCCTCAACAAATAGGGCGGTTTCCGCTGTGAAGGAGTCGGAGTGTAGACGCACTTCGGAGACGAGCCGAGCAGACTGGTGGGGCATCCGACTTTTCGCCTCGATGGCAAAAACGACTCTCTGAGCGATGATCACGTCACCGACCTTTGACCAGGCCTTTGACGTGTGAGCTTTGCAAATCTATCTACCCGACCTATATCCACACCAACAGCGCTTGGAGCCCCAGCTGAGTGAGATCGTCTGGCGGAGCAGGGAGTCGTCTGGCGGAAGGTCGCTTGCGGAAGGTCGCTTGCGGAAGGTCTGAGATTCGGCAGATTGTGGGCGACATCTCTGTGACGATGGACATGTTTCACAAGACCCGGTGGAAGATAAAGTAGCACAGGGTCTTGGTTTGCTTGTTTCCAGGAAAAAGGGTTGGGCCATACACATTCAAGATAAAGCTGCAGATCTTGTGGCATCCCTTGGAACTGGATGAACTCGGATTACTCTGCGCCATGCCCGATTGCTGCCCACTAAGCCTTACACTGGGCTATCCAAGGCCTTTGAATTTGCTAGACAGACGGCTAGACCAGCTCACCAAGCACATTTGAGAGGGAGAGAGGGAGAGAAAGAGTCATCATGATGTGCTTTTCGCATCTTTTCGGCATCATTTTCGGACCCCCAAAACGTCCATCGCTTCGTTCGTCGAGCTTCGTCAGTTTCGACGTCGCACGCGCCCGCCACATGCCGAGTCGGGTCCACCGAGCGGATTCGACGCCGGGCAGGGACATGAGCGGTCTCCGCTGGTTGAAGTTCCAAACACTACACCACCCTTCATCGTTCTGGAGAACATGGCAGGGAGTCCTGGAAAGCTGCCGGGCAAGTGAAGGAAGGAACGTCCAGACAGACGGGTTTTTTTCGATGTCCAGACAGTCGGGTTCATTCGGATGAGGACTTTTTGGGGGGCCAAAAGTTCATGAGTCACCACTGAAGTGTCCGAGTCCATGGATGGAGAGCCACTGGATTGCTAGCAGTCTTTCTGGGCAGTCGTGCAGGTGTTTCTGGTTTTTGTGGCTTCGAAGCAGTTGGGGCCTCCCGAGGGTTGCGCAGAAAGACCCATGGAGCGAGGTGGTCGTGGCGGTCGTGGCGGTTTCAGCACGTGGCGTTTCAGCTGGCGGGCGTTGGTGGCTTTCCGGGCACGGCTCCTGATCACGTTTCCAAATGGACAAGTGATCAACCAAAAGTGAAATCATTGAACAAGCCTCTTTTGGGACCTCATGAGGTTTATCAGGTGCTGAAATCATCTGCACTGATTTCCGATCTTCTTCTTCTCAATCTGGGTCAATCTGCCCAAATTTGATCTGCTTCCGCATTCTTCACCGGGGTTTTCACATCTATTTCACTGTCCATTCTCCACCTACCACCGCTCGCGCATCAACACCGACCTGGCCCACTGCGTCCAGGTCCGGGATTCTCAGCAGCACACCTCCCGGGGACTCCACGTCATCTCTCTGGCCGAGAAGGCGCCGACGTCCTGCTTCGTCGCTGTTCACCGAAGCCAGCGGACGGTGGGGACGGGATGGGAGTGGGGGGGAAGGTGAGGTTCCGTACACCAGTGACGGGCTTCAGCCCCCGGGCTTCGAGCTGGATCTGCGAGCTGGATGATGATGAGTCCCTTTGACCAGTGGTCATGGTGTCGACCGGACCGGGACCTGACCGAGCGGTTCCGGGTTCCGGCTCGGTTCGGGTTCCTGGACCCGGTGAACGGTACGGACGAACCGTCGGTCCTGGAGACGAGTGGAGACAACACATCAGCCAAGCAGCAAACAGTTTGGTCAGAATACACACTGGCTTTCCGAAATCGAAACACAACAATCATCAATTGTTCAATCACTGAAGATGAATTCACCACATTTCACCACCAAGCCTGGCAGTTTGAGCCCTCATGCGGAAGCCAGCTCTGATGCACATCATGGCAGTACTCCCAACGCCCACGTCGTCGCCAGGAGCTGAAGCTGGGCCGCGGCCACGAGAGCGACGTCCGCATCGCCGACGCCGCTTGGGGCGGAGAAGGGGCGGGCGGGAATCGAACGGGGCGGGTAAGGAGGGCGTGAGACAGTTGTAGGGTGAGTGGGAGTTGGGAAGAGTTGGGAAGAGTGAGGAAGAGTTGGGAAGAGTTGGGAGTTCATCCTCCCTGCCTTTCTCTTTTGGATGGCGTTTTTTTTTTTTTTAAATCACGATGTAGCCATGACTTCATGAGCATGATGGAGGAATATGCGATCGTTTTTCCGATGTTTTTCATCTACATGGTGTTTTTCTCGAGAAAAGCTGTACTCATTCCCAATCCTCGAAGTCTCCCTTCATCTGGGATCTAATGAATCATTGCGGAGGGCGGGGGGGTCTCAAAGAATTCTTTTTCTTTTTCTTCTTCGGAGCGGGGTGGGGCTGTCTGCGGTTTTTTTGCCCAGGTTTTTGTTTGGGCGACAGAGGAGGTTGAAACCGGTGTAAGGTTCGGGAAAGAACCATTGAAGATCAACCACATTTTGCTTGTCCAGCTGACCAGCTGTCCAGCTATGGAAGTCAGAGCTGTGTGGCACCCTGGCCATGCATGGCTAAGAGCCTATTGGTGAATCCCAGCACCCTCCAACCAGTTTCTTGATCTGCGTGCACGTGTGGTGTGTTGTTCAAAGATGCGCGGTGACCAGGGCCGGTGGCTGGGTTCCCTCTTGTTGCTCTGAGTGATCTGCGCGCTTCAGAAGCCACAGACCCTGTGAACGTTGAGAGATGAAGCCCTGCGAGTATGAGGATCAAAGAGCTGCAACTGGAGCCCCCCAAGAAGTGATATACCACTACCAGCTGCTTCCGGACACGGGGTCACCTGGCTGGATATCTCCACACGTACGTCAACAGGTCTCCCTGTCCAGGGCACCCCGACAAGAAGCGCTATAGGTATATATAAACCTCTTTGATTCTTCTGCACTTCGTGCTTCCCTTCGATCGACCCATGAGTCGGTGGTTCACCATGCGAAGAAACCCACTGGGACGAAACACCACTGGTTTGGGACCGCAGGTGAACGGCTTGCGTTCCCGTGAAAGAAGCAGCGGAGAAACCGCGACGTGAAGCGTCTGGATTTTTCATGATGATCAGGTGGATCAGGCGATTTTTCATGAACTGGGTCAGTGTGCTTACCAGGTGGTCAGATACCATCCACTAGGTCACCTGGCTCCCAGTGACTGCCCTCCACCCAGACAGGATGGTCCAGGTATATATATACCTGCAGAGGTTAAGACTTAACCGTTAAGTGACCGTAAATAGGACCCTACAGGGGTACCTATAGGATAGTCGAAAGGGTTCTTCAACCTCTGCTGGTATATGGAATTCGTGAATATTTTTCTTTCAGGTTCTGAAGTTCAGCAAATCCAAGTTTTCGCCAGCGGCTAACCATGCTTGGAGCACGGAGGCAAAAGACGTACTTCCTGATAGGGACGAGACCAAAGCTGATGGCATGGAGCTGCATGGCAGACTAGCTTCCTCCACAAAGCAGTGGTTTCCATGTGAGTCTCTTCCCGGGCATGTTCCCCTGAGATAGATCAGACATCAACCCATCATAAAACCATCACTCTTACTGTAGGGTGGAGGCCATCGCTCTTAGGTTGGAGGCCATGGCTTCTACACGCACCTCTTAATTGAAAAAGATCATCAAATCCATCAACTCCTACCATCCAGCGAGCCATACCAGACTGTTGGCCAGCCCAGCGAGGTCTCGATCTCCCGTTGCCATGCCACGATCCGCTTCAGCCGCATGGGCCGCAAGGTGGGAAGGTGCTGCGGCCCCACACACCACTTGGGAGGGGTGTTTGGGCCCCCCCACACATGGGGCCAAGAGAACAACTGCAACGCACCTGGATCAGTCTGACATGGATTCCATGTAGACTTATTAGGGAGCATCTGATCTCCTACATCAAGGGCCTCTGGACCAAGCAGTAGACGGAAAAACATCAGTCAGCTGATGCCGTTCAAGAGTTACAATTGAATCCAATTGGGTACCTCCGACCCACACCAGGTCTTGAGACTACAGCATGTTAGACTCGAAAGCCCAGAAGTTCTTTCCCGACCAATTTCATCCTCTGAACTACCCATGTTTTCCACCTTAAAGATGTTCAAACATCTTGGGACCCCGAGTCGCCGTTGTTTCGAGACCCTCTCCGTGGGCGGGATCCCCGCCCGGAGCGTTCGAGCTGGTGACCGGCATGCGCCGTTTAGGGGGGGGCATTGGGTCGGGTGGGTCGGGTGCCGATTTCCTTTACGGCTTGAGACGAAAAGAACCAGGTCCAGGTTCTGGAGGACAAACCCTTTAGGCCTGAAGAGTTTTCCACTTCAAACGGATTGGTTTATGTACCTCAAGAGTCTACAGTCTATAGGTCATGGTATGTCATGGTGCAAAAACTAGTAACCATAGTGAAGCTACATAGCCAGAGCATGTCTTTTTTTTCCTCGGCTCACCTTCGTCCCAAACAGTTGGGTGACCCTCCCGTCGAGGTGTAGGCCCAGCTCGGTCAAATGCCAATTGGAGAGAGGGGGGAACACGTATATAGGAGAAAAAAAGGCAAGCACACATTGGCACATGTTTGAGTAACTCCAGCGCAAGTGTTTGTTTTGTTTTGTTTTTTTTAGATATTAGATATCATATATATATATATATACATATTATAAATTTTATTAATATACAAATATTTTGTTCAATGGTCTACCTGGACCATCTAAGATCGTGTTCCAAACCATGTTCCGATGCATCCCCCACACGGATCTTGGAGGGCCCAGAAAAAGGACCGCCGTCAGGCCAGCACCAAGACAAGCCAGCGCCTAAATAAAAACATATATATTATGATCCTATCTGAGTTGGAAGACCCTTTGACCACCGACAGGGCAACAGGGATTCACATCAAGCTTCTATCATATCATATACATCATATATGTCTCATACATCTTAGGCCCATACTCACGGCCGCACATGCCCATTGTTTCAGCAACACCAAGGTAAGGGCCAGTTTTTGCTACAGGACTCGGCGGATCTTTGCCGGTTCGTGCGGGTAGTTCTTGCAGAGTTCTGGGGGGGGCCACGCTGCTAACCATTGAACGGTGGATCTCTGTGACCTTCTGGATCGCTTCGGAGTTTTCCGGCGGACACCAGCCGAAACAGCCCAACATGACGAGGTTCAAGTTTCCATCAAGTTCCCAACTCCGAGGCCTGTCGGAATACCCCAGGCCACATGTACGACAGCAGGGTTGTTTCAGAGTCGCATGCATTCGAGACCAAGTTTCGGGAATCCATCTGAACCATTGGAGCTGGTGCCATCCACTCTGGTCTACACTTGAAGTTGGAAGTTTTTCCTTTCCATCTCCAAGTGGTGTTCTGGAACTCGTTGTATCAGTATATATCTAAGAGTTTCAGCAGCTTTGGAACCCTTGGGGTCGCAGCATCACAGCCTGCGCCGCCTTGTCAGGACAACAGTTCCAAGTTCGGCACACTGGTGGCGATGAAGAAACCCAAGGTTCTGGAACCAGGCGCACTGGGCTGCGCGACCCGGAACGCAGGAGCTCTGAGACTCCCTCCGCGCGGACGGACGCGCGGTCTTCACGTGTTCGGACGCGGGGACGTGGCGACTGGAGGGGTCTCCAGGTGTTCCAGACTCCAAAGACAAGCATTGATCTGGGTTAAAAACCTGGAGTGAACAGCACCACGCAATAAAACAACCTCCCAGGTAGGTCATGCACTGTATCCTAGTCTTGACCCACAGCCATCTATTGGTTGGGACCTGGTATGACCATGAATGTCGCGACCTGGTCTTACCAGAAGGGAGGTGGTTTTGGGTTGACCCGATCCTGTTGCTACCCAGGAATGGAAGCCCTGTACCCCAGTTGTGGATGATCAGTCCCGCTCTAAGCCGGACTTCCTCAGGTCTTTGGACCCGCGAAACCCACCCCAGTCCCACCTTCGGACGGAGCCCTATAGGGTTAGGAAGAAGACATTGTGCTGATCATGAACGGATCACTAGCGATGGCCTCCACCCTAGTAGCGATGGCCTCCAACCTAGAAGCGACATGATTTATGAGTTTTCTTACTGGCCCCACCTGCCAGTCATGGCCATGACATAAACGGATCGCTCGCCAGGCACGCGTCATGAGTTATTTTGGGTCTCCAAGTGGTCAAAAGCCGTGGGAGGTGATGGTGATCTGACAAGATCAAAATGGGTCGGGGTTTGGCTTCTAGGCAGATGAATTACGTTACGTGTTCGACCAAGAGTGTAGGGTCTACGGTAGACCCCCCTGATAGGTTGGAAGTTGTAGCGGGTTTTTACGCCAGAAGAGGCATCCATCGATCGATGAACAAGAAAGGCACGAGAAAGGCACCCTTCAAAGCCTGGATCGTACTGTCGACGCACAGTCTTTCACAACCCTGGAATCCCGGAAAGTATACTATCGTGTATAGGACTTCTTCTTCCATGAATCAAGACGATGTTCGACTCGATGTTATTTTTTAACATAACACGACTACTGCGTGACTGAGTAGAGCTGGGAGTTGGACCTTGTTCTATTTATAGATGTGTATATTGGGTCTGTCCTATTACCTGTAACAGTCAGTAAACAAGCAAATCACGATTTTTAAAGAAATGCCTTTAGCAACCATCATCATCCACTGACACTGGTAATAGGATCGACCCAATGTATATATTTCTTACATTTTTCAGCTAAGCTCAGCTAGGCATCGTGCTCGTGCCTTACAGATCAAGGCTAGTTCATGACGTGCATGTGAGTCAAAACATGTCCAAAGCAACATGTCTTTTGGAACTCCCCGGTCAAACCAGCATGGTCTTGCATGGTCTTGCCATCTACCTCTGAGCTGACGGGGATTCCCTGGTCCACTGACGGAGTGCACTCGCGCACTCACCCCACAACCCCACAACCGCTCTCCCTAACCGCACCAACCGCACCAACCGCCGCCACGCGCGGTGTGGCAACTTGCGCCAGGTGTGAACATTTCGATTCAGATGGGCCGCACGGTGTTGACCTTGTGCGCACAGTCCGATCCCAACCAATCCACCGCGGCGCCGCCGGCGGGTCTTGGGGGTGTGGACAGGACTGGTGAGGTCATGTGAGGCCGGTGCATGAGCGAACACAGGCGAGGTGCTCGACTTAGCATCGATTTAAAATGCATCAGATCATCAGGTGATCATCAGGTGCTCATGTTTTTCATGGTGCCAGACTTCAGGTCTTGTAATTCCGGAGAGTTTGAGCAACCCGCCAGTGTTTCCCGCTTCCCGCTTCGCCAGTCCTGGCTTTGCACGCAGAAGAGTCGCCAGTCATCGCCAGGCGAACGCCCTGAATGCGCTGCCTGCTGGTGGAAGTGCGCAGGCGAGAAGTGTCCGTCCTAACATCTGAGATACACTCCTTGAAACCATCGGCAAACGGCCCAGTTCGTTCGGATTGACCATGTTCCGGACACCAGCTTGAGCTGGTGGTCCTATGTTTTCCTCTTCCATGATGAGGCTGAGGGAGGGTATCTCTAGAAGCCACATGTTTGATGAGGTTGCGAACGCCAGCACGGTCTGCTCTCCAACCCACACGATCTCCAGAACGTCCACGGAAGCATGGATGGTGCACCGGCTAGTTAAGAGTTCCTGGTATCTGGGTTCATGCCAATTCATGTCGTTTTGCCCAGACGCGACCCTGGACCCGAACCAACTGCTACATGTTGGTTCGGTCCAAGACCCTAGTTGTGAGGGTCCAAACCCTAGCGAACTGAGGGTCCTTTCTGAGCCTTTGGGTGATGGTTGTATCTCACAGCCACTCCGACCCCGGGTCAACAACCACCGTTGGTCAGGTCAACGACCGATGGTCAGGTCGGTTGTGGCACTCCGCACTCATCTCCGGTACACTCCGCACTCGTTCTGACGACGTGGATGGCATGGATGGCCCCTGAAAGGATATATAACCATATAAGAATCCATGTTCATCCATACCCAACAGGTGGTGAACTCACTCAACGTTAGCCCATGATAGTGTTTCAAGGAGTGTAGCTTGTTGATTGAAACGATCGAGTCTGCAGCGAGATCGGTCAATCGACCGAATTCCCGTGATGTACAGGACATGAACGAGCAACTCATCTCACTATCCTTCGCTGGATCTGATGATCACATTGGACCCTACCCAGGAAGTTTGTGGATCATCTGCAGATTACCACCCTTCTTTGAGGGATTGGGGAAGGTGGAAGGTTCGTTTCAACTGACTTTGTCAGGGATGGACTGCAGCTCGTTGGATAACCCTTTAGCCTTCTTTGAGGTGGAGACTTCGCTTCACTTTAAATCTAGTTCGGGTCTGTTCGTGGAACTGACATGAACTGACGTCATGGAGTCTGACTATATTGTTTTATGATGCTTTTTATATTACAAATCGGCTTGTTAACATGATGATCATGGTGCATCGACTATGATTTTGGACACACATCGGCTTTCAACATGATTCTCATGGTGCATCTACCGAACCCAGGACGTGCTTTCGTTTTCCCGGTTCCGCCACGCCAGGACGAGCGAGCCTTGCGCTTGTCCCTCTTGACCCGGGGGCAGAGCGAAGGAGCGACCGAAGACTGGTGAAGTGACTGGGTGATGTGGAGGTGTTTTCTATTTTTTACTTCTCTACGGTCTAGCCGGCAGCCTACTGTGGAGGTGGGAAAGATCTGGAAAGGCTGGGCATGAAGATGAACACGTCCGAGCCTGAAGATCCAACGTCCGGGGAAGACGTCCTGAATCTCCACCTGCCAGATCTTCCAGTTCCAACGAAGTGATTTCATTGACCGTCCAGGTCCGGCGGACTCCGAGTCTGACCGTCCAGCCACATAGCCACGTGAATTCCATGTCTCCATTGGATGAATTTGTGACCTTCTATGACCAGGTCAAGACTTAGACCCCCAGACACTGTCATGTACCAATGTAGATCGTCGGTCCCTGTCTTGTGGAGCTGGAGATGGATCTTGTCTTCAACTCAATGCCTCGGGTCTTTCTCTCCGATCTGCCAGGACAAGCTAAGGAAGAGGAAGAAGCTGGTTGAGACAGTCTCACCCACCGTCTCGGGTGATAGGACAAGACCGAGAGATGTGGAGAGAGGCAAGTGGACAGGTCAGATTGACGGTCAGTCAACTGGTAGGGGAACCTTGGAAGATCTTGGAACATGATCACTCGGAGGTGGACAGACGAGAAGCAACTCTGGGTTTTGAAAAAACCCAAGAGTGGGTCCCGCCAGTACTTGACTGGTCCCCCTTGCATAGTTCCTGATTTTTGTTTGGTGCTTTCAAGTTTCAAGTTATAGTTTCAATTGCTCTTATGACTTATGAACTCTTCAGGTGGGTTGAAATCACACCAGATCTTTATATTTTATGCATTCCAATATCTCCTTCGGCCAACCTTTCGGGGATTTGGTCCTCCGCACACTGCGAGACCATTTTGCAGCATTCGGAGTACAAGATGCACCATCCATAAATGGGTGTGTATTTTGGAGACGCCCAACCCATGGGTTTTGGTCTATTTTTCTTCCATATCCAAGTTCCTTTTTTTTGGAGGTTTCCCCATGTCAAAACACCCTTCATCCTTCCCACAAGTTTGGAATCAGGCGTTCTTCTCGTTCGCACCAGCACCATCATGGTCGACCCATCACACGAGGCGTTCGCCCCAGGGTGCCCCAAAAGTAAGGCACCACCGTCCGGTGCGGCACGCGGACCACGCCGTGCGTCCGCTGGACTCACGGCCCACGACAAATGCTCGTTGACGCATGCGAAAATGGCCGCAGATCAGTTTCTACATGCTATCCAGGGATATTTACTTTGGAAGGATTGTTGTTACATCTATGGCCGAACAAAGAACAAGGGCCCCGCACTGCGATCGAAAGTCAAAGAAAGGCAAGTTGGGCCTCGCACTGCACTTAAACGTGCGGCAGAAACTGCCCTAGATCGAGAGTCACTTTCGCCGCTCGAATGGGCGGCCTGTGAGGCGGCTGGATCTATTGAATCGGCTGAACGAAGAACGACAGCTAGCTACCATGCTTTAGCCCGAATCTCGACGGTCGAGGCTTAACCCTGTTCCGTTTTTCCCGGAATCCAAAAAAGGAACCTTAGACATCCTTAAGATCCTTAGATCCGTAGACAATATTAAAAAAATATGTTGACAATGACTTGTTATATAATTTATATAATTTGCACGTTGCCGCGGACCTTTGACGTTCTTTAGGCGTATCTTTGACGAGTCAATGTTGAGAGCGACTGGTTCTCCTGGCCGTGATGATGGCTGTGACCGACGCGATTCGAACCGAACCGAAGATGATTTGCGAAAAAGGGGAAGACCATGGGAGGACTACTATACCCAGACGCGACCCTGGACCCGAACCAACTGCTACATGTTTGAGGTCTTGGACCCTAGTTGTGAGGGTCAAAACCCTAGCGAACTGAGGGTCCTTTCTGAGCCTTTGGGTAGTAACAAGGACGCTACTAGAGGTAGTCCATCCCTTAGAGGTTCGAAAAACACGACGGAAACGGGTTCGGCGTGAGCTCAGCGGTGAAACCAGCTGGCTTTTCAGTCGGATCGGATGGCTGGGGTGGTTCCGTGATCGGGTTGGGGTGCCACAGCCGCTAACTCCTGGCGTTTTCATCTCAAAGGACGTCGTTCGGCCGGGCCGGCCCTGCCTCTTCCCTGCCTAACATGATTTCGGTGGGGACACTTCGTGTGAGAGAGAGTCCAAGCCAGGGCAAGCAATCCGGAGATGGAAGCAGAAGAAGAATGCCGGACATCCCCAAGCCGTGCAGCCCAAAAAGCGCTCCAAGCGCCCAAGCCACTGTAGAGGCATGAAGTAAATGCCCGGTGCACCGAGGCCTTTTTCTGCTCGACTCTCTCAACACCCCAGACGTGGCTTCCTGGGCGTCAAAGAAGACGTCGCACGGAACCACGGCACCCGGAGCAAGGTTTCCCCGGAGCAACTCAGAGCGGGTCAATGAAGAGAAAGTGGCAGATGACATGGAACACATGAAACGAGATGGGGTTCTGAACCCATCAATTCATGACTTTACTATTCGGATCAATTCATCAGTGTGTGTCGAGCCCGCAGTCCAGAGTTTGCCCGCGGCCCGTAGAGGAAAGTAGACCGCATGGCCTTGCTGTAAAGCTCTCCATGCGAAGCGGCGTGTTTTCACACGTGCGGACGACTCGGTCCGCGCCTAATGGTTGTGAACACGTGCCCTGCATTGATGGCTGACCTGGCTGGCCTCCCTTGTGTTCTCACATCATCATCGGCAAAAAAGAAACACATGAGCTAGAGATCTTCCGGTTTGTTTTGGGGGCGTGGCATGGTGAGCTGGAAGACCTGTTGGAACTATGAGGAAATGAGCTATGCCATGCGCAGAACATACTCTACCACCTCCACTCAAGTGGGACTACCGGTACCGGACATCCCTTTTGAAGGTGGTAGATGTTCATTCAACTAAGGCAGTTCGGTTCGGCCTTCGACCATCCCCGGCTATCCAACAAAGGGATGACATGGGATGACCCGACTCTCATTTGTCACTCCAAATGTTTTTCAGTTGTTTTTTTTGAATGGAGACCATTGCATCTGGTTTGTTATAGTCACTCCGTCACTCGGGAGACTGTCATCTCATCATCTTCGACGTCATCTTCGACGTTTCTCCTCTTTTCGGACGACGATGTTCTTTTTACGGAACGACGGGAGGCCGCCAGAAGTGGGGGAAGGGGGCCGAGATGGATCTCGACAATCCTGGTTTGGTCAGCTTTGGAGTACAAAAGGGCGCTGCTTCTCTTTTCGCAGCGGGAAGGAGTGTGAATTCAGCGGCCTGGCGCTGCTTCTCTTTTCGCATCACCATTTTGTACAGTTTGGTAGTCTACAGATGAAGATCTTTGGTAACACACCGGTTGTTTGGGAAAAGATAACATAATCATTTATAAATCAATGGTGGTTGGAAATAGGGTATAAACTCAGACCATCCCTTGACTTGAGGAGCGGTTGACGCACGTGGGGTTCACCACGTGCACGGCAAAAGAACATAGGTTTGTCCTCTCAAGGGCTCTAAGAACCGCGCACTGGATGGACCACAAGAGATCTAACACCAGAATTCATGTGGCTCAAAGACCCAGTCCCAAAGAGGTACCGACCATTCAAGTAATGGTTCTTCCAGTTTCCCTTGAAGACCACCGGAACATTGAGATGTCACACGCTCTGTTTTTTCTATTCGTCGATCTGTGGAAGTGGAAGGCAAGGACGATGTCACAGGTCACAGGTCACAGCACAGCCGGTCTTACCGTGTGACGGCGAGAGTTGTTCCGGCCGGAGGCTCGGCCGCTTGGCCTTCGAACAAGAACGCTACTAGGAGCTAAAGGGAATACCTAGCCGTGCCTACTAGAACGCTACCCTACTACTCGTAGGGGGTCCTGGCCTTTCAAACGGAACCGGCATCGCTCCCGATACCGGGATGCGTGGTCTCGCGAGTCCGTACATCGACATGTGGCTGAAGCAGAATGCCGACACCAAGTATAGCAGAAGACCAGACACCAGGTGTTTAGAAGCTGCGAGACCGGACACCAAGTATAGCAGCTCCTTTCAGTCAAACAGTGCATCTATGACATCGTCGGACGCACGAGAGTACACCCGCACGAGAGTCTGAGACACCTCGTGTATGTACTAGTACTGTAGCCGAACCGGAGCGGACACCCGCCAGAACTGAACACTGAGATCTCGCACGAGGATCTTCCACCACGATGTCCAACGGAAAGCTCTGAGGGTTGGGGCTTTGCACAACGAGGATCTTCCACCACGTCGACATCTGTCTCACAGCCCAGACACATGTCTAACCCACGCCTCGGTATAGACCTCCCGTCGGTTCCGACGAAAGCAGACACTTTCATGGCCTGCGATTTCTCGCGCTGACAGCGACCGCGGAAACTTCCCATGGCACTGGCGCTGGCTCGGGTGACCAAGACACCCATCGTTCGAGGCATTTGGGTGTGTAATTTAATAGGGAGACCGAGAGACCTCCACAACCAATCAGCTTTGGTCTATTTCTCGTCTCCCTATTCTACAAAACGGTGTACCCATTTGTCGCTGGAAAAGGAGGTGAAATGTTTCTTTTTTTGGCTGACACGGTGTCAGGTACACCTATTCTAGATTCGCGAAGGGACGACGCAGATCCCGACACCATTTTTTCACAGTACTCCCAAACATTTGAGTGAACAACTCCGAGTTTCGGAGTGGTTTTCCACTCATGGCACTCACCCCAAACAGTGTTCAGAACTCACAGCGAACGCACCACGAACCGAGGCTTCAAGCTTGCCCGGCTCCACGCGCGGCGGACAACCGAAGGGGAACTCTGTGCGGCTCCACGCCTGCGCGGACGGCGCACCGGGTGGGAGTGAAGATGAGAGCGCCACATGGGACCGTGGGAATCCCGACCTCTGGCGGATCGCGACGTGTCGTTCTTTTTCCCTCGAATTTTATGCCAGGACCCGACGATAAACAGGTCAATTGAGACCTGTCAGGGTCCAACAACCCTCAACGAACAGCCTGTTAGGGTGCTGGTGGGGGAATAGTCACTATAGTTCCATCTATAGTTCCATCTATAGTTCTATTTTTCGCGACTTCGGAACCAGCCAACCCAAGGACATGAAACCGATTCAGATAGCTGATCTCTGAGAATCCCTTCGTTCCATAGTGGTCCCCAAATAGATATTGGCAGGGTGTCCAATACATTTTGAACAGGATTTTACTATTTTCTAATATTTTCTATCTATACATGGGATCTATATATGGAAATATATACCAAACACCTCGGCACGAAGTGAATCTTTTGAACTCCCTAGCTGTGGAGTCTGCGACTCCACGTCAGGAGATGTCGGACGTGCATGGTCGGACGTACATATAGCTCTGTTTGGATGCCCCATGTTCGAAGGCGAGGTCAACACACACACAGAGACACACCTGTATGAAAGTTCGCATGAAACCCTGGGGTTCTACCGACCCTTCAAGTAGACATACAAGAGAGTCCAATCACCGTACCTCACAGGGTGGCAAGTTGATCCATGTAGAAACATTCCTCCAGGTGTTCCGAACTCGTTGACCTTCCACACCTTCCACAAGTTGAAAAGAGTTGTCCAGAATCAAATCCAAAACAGATCGCATGAGAACCCCGTCGTTCGTTCTCCTCGCGTGCTGCGGAGGTGCTCGCGGAGGCGCTCGCTTCAGGTCAAACCTGGCGCTGGGAACTGCAGGTGGGCTGGGTCGGTAGAGGCTGCCCAAGACGCCCAAGAGTGGTAGCCCAAGCACATTTGACATTGGCCCATCCCATACCATCCCTGATCTCTCCTTTGAACTATATCATATTCATAGGCGGCCAGGGCCATATATAGCCTAACTAGCATACCCTCCCTCCAGACATGTTAGTGAACTCTTCACCCCCATGTGATCTAGTTTCAAGGGGCCGTGTATGGCCATGCCATCTACTCATTCGATCTCGTTTCAGGGAGTGACTGATCCGCAAATACGGCAGGCAACGAAAGACAGGTGGTCTCTGGGATATCGCAGGCAACGAAAGACAGGTGGTTGTTTGGTTTCGGAGGTGTTTGGAAACCCATGGCAGGAGATATACTCCCTGGAATCATCATGATTACGTGGAGTGAAAACCACCACGTTTGGAGGACTCGGACACATGTCATCCAGGTCGAGCCCTTTGCATGATTTCGGGGAGCGTATCGATCCTGAGGGACTCATCGGTCTAATCTTGGTTGGGAGGGGCGCCATCATGGCGCAAGAAGATCCCCAAACTACTTGGTGGCCCCCCCTCAAAGAAATCATTTGAGTTTCAGCATGCATTGGATTGAGTGGAGTTTTTGTACCCTTTTGTGCTTGGGCTTTTGCTTCAACCCTGATGTTGGTTAGTCCCGCAGGTGGTGCAGGAAATGAAGATGTATACGGAACCTAGTGGCACCTCGTTGGTCTCTTTCACTTGGCTTGGCGTTAACGGGTGATTTTCTATGAGTGAATCCCCTGGCAGCCCTGGCATGTGTTGTCCTTTTTGTTTCCGCTTCCGAAACAAGCAACTCCATCGTTCTCGCCTTCTCGACAGTGAAGATAGACAGTGCGGACGATGGCCGACCGCGCCACGCTCGGAGAGCCGACCCAAGAGGGCCAAAAGGGATGACTTCGCGGCCATCCAAGGGGGTCAGCCGCATCCATCGCTGGGAGAATCCAAAGCATTTTGTTTGATAGATCCCGATGATGCCACCAGGGATCTATCATGTACTGAGAGAATTGAATCTAAGAGGATTTGGGAAATTGGAGGTCGTCTCAACCTATCAGCAGAGAGCTTGCTATTTTGGGGCTGGTAAAAACTCATTCCCAGGGAACCACTGAGCGGTTCTTTGGACATGGTCAATTCAGAAGAGCATCAAGAAGCATCAACCACCAAGCGTGGTGTCAGAGCCACCAGGCGTGGCTGCTGCGACGACACTGGCCGCTGGTGCCGGCAGGTCGAATGTGGCAGTTGAAGGGAAGAGCTCTTCGTTTCAGAGCTTCACGGTGCTGTTTTTTTACATGTTAAAAAAAACATGTCTTTTGTTGTTTTTACATGTGGAAGACGTTCATTTTTTCAGCGCCTTTGCCAAGGGATTTGGGGCCCGGGTCGTTCAACCTCGAAATCCCCAACCTGGAGCCCCACCGTAGGTCGTAGCGAACGACCTTCCAAGTACCGCCCTGACCGTCATTTCACGGCTGGGCCGGATAAGGGTCAGCCTCACCTGAATCGATCATCGAACACCACAGATCGGGCCCGTTTGGCCCGTTTGAGTATTGTATCGGGGGTGTGTATTTTTCAATAGGAAGATATCAAGGGGTTTGGTCCAATTTCCGTGAAGAGGGGGGGCGGAGCGGCGGAACTGGAAGGTCTCCGTATGTTAAAACCACACGTCGCATACCCAGACACGACCCATGGGACTGCCATAGGACTGCCGCCCCATTGACCCCCAGTCAACCACCCCAACTGATTGGTAAATATACCAGTCCCATGGAGTGTCTGGGATATGTGAACTTATAGTGACATTCAGTGAATCGAGCAATCTTTTTGCTAGCGGCTAGCCCTGCTAGCCCTGAAGGACTTCAACTGCCTTTCAGGGATAATGGACACCCGATCACGTTTAACCTTATAGTTCTTGGTTGTTTCTTGAATTCTTCACCTTTATGCAGTGAAACATTGCTCAAGGTCCCTGGACTGTTCTGGAAACGCACGCACTGGAACCGTTCCAACCTCTCTCCACAAGGAGCAGCAGGCGCAATGCATCTGGATCATTTGGACCTGGACCCTTCAAAGGTGCGGCGTGGCGTGGGCGCGTGGGTGCGTGGGAGGGTGTCTCACAACTTCTTATAGTTTCAACTACCCTCCTTGAAACTGCCTGGGTGTATGAAAAACACCTGCTTTACTTTTGGATGCTTTTTGATGAAAAGTCCTACTCTAGTGGATCAGTGGATCCAGAACTCGTATCCTTTTTCGATCCTTTTGGGCCTTTTATAGGGCCCGGATGTGAGCTCCATGTTCATCATGCGGATGTGACTCCTTCATGTCGCCCAGACTTTCAGACACTTGTGAACGAGTCCGCCAGACACGTCCGCGACTCGTCCGCGACTGACACGAGTCGGACGCCGGTGCCGGTGCAAGCGGGACCTTGTTTCGGGAAGGACTGGTGCAACATGGTGCAACCATGTCCATGGTTGGACCGGTTTCAGAGGGGTAGAACGAAGGGCTTGGACCGGGCGTCAAGTCGTGCCAACATGGATCGCCCATGTGCTGCAGGAGTCACTTCAATGGACTTGGTCTGGAGTCACTCGTTCTTTCCCGAAATCTAGCCGCACGAAACGCATCCGCTGATCAACTACGACCCGAAGTCAAGTACCTTAAGAAAATGAGACATGACCCCAATAAAAAAGCAGACCTCGATTTTTGCAGTGTGGGACATGACCGAAACAAAAAAGCAGGTATACGGTATAGGACTGTACCCAGTTTTAGGAGTACTTTGAGGGTCCATGTATGAAGACAAGTGTCTCGAGGGGAAAACCAGAAACGATGCTATCTAGATGTAGATGTGCCGCCGAGCAACGCAGGGATCAACCTTGTTTGGAGGTTTGAAAACATGAACAACATGATGCATCTCTTGTTAAGGCGTCCACTAGAAGAACTCATGAAGCGATGCCTTTGACATTCCACCATGGGGAAAGGCATGTTTTTGCCAACTCATAAATCCAGTAAACATGATCCCCTCACCAAAGGGGTGGTGCACCAGGCTTTGCACCGACTTTTGGTGCAGAGTCCAGTGCCTAGCGCACTCCAAAGCCGAAGAACAAACACGGTGTCCAGTCTGGAGACCTGCAAGGTTTGGGACGCATTGGAGCAACCAGGTGACGCATTGGGAGCAACTGAAGTCTAAGATAATATGATTATTTTAGGGATCTATCAATTTGATTCTATATTTGTATACCTGGAACCCAGACATGACCTCTGTTTTGATAGGAAGTTGGATGATATTTGGGGTGGTTTGGTGGTCCGGAGATCACGACCAGGTTCCAGGTATGTTACCTTTGAACACCTGGGACCCTTCTACATAATGTTGGCTGAACACAAACCTCAATCCGATCTTATGTCAGCTCCGACACCCGGTGCTGGATTGGGATTTTGCGAAGAGCGAGCTACAACCATGACACCCTCAGCTATGGATGTGTTCTCTCTTTAACCATCCAGTAACACAGATGTTTGACTCGGTGAACTGGCCACGCATTTGCCGCGCGCGCGCGCGCGCGTACGCGTGCGCGTTGCGCGGCTTGAGAGCGAGCGACGTGTCTCAGGTGGCGCAGTGGCCAGGGACCTCAGAGACGCGGCGCAGTTCCGCGCGCTGAACATCACATGGGAAGCTGGTTTTGGCGCGTGCGTCTTCGGCGACGACGGAGTTCTTTTTTTGGGGGGGTTCCTTCAGTCAAAAGATACACTCGTGGAATCCAAGGCCAGGAGATGTATAGGAGATATTAATCCTGGTATTTTGGTGTGGCAGAGCTGAAGTGATAAGCTCCGATACAGGAATACTAAATGGTTATATCCCTGTGAGTCCAGTCGACTATTTGTCCATGGTTTGACTAGATGACAGAAGTCAAAGAATTTCTTTACTTCGGTCACTCCGGAGTTCCTCGAAAAGGTGGTTCTCCTCCACCCAGCACCCGCAAGGGAAACTCATCATGCTTGGGGGTAAACCTGGGCATAACACGCCATAACCGCCCTTTCCCAGTCCCTCAAGACCGGATTGGTTCGACCCCAGACCCCGACCCAAGAGGGCGACTGAAACTCATTTTGGCCTACATAGAACCTGGTCGTGACCTCTATTTTGGATCACCAACCAGGATAACAACCCAAAATATGGTCAAACTTCAACCTTCCTATCAAAACAGTGATCATCTCTGGGCTGTATTGGTTAGGCATTTCCTTTGAATATCGCACAGCGAGCTGTCGCACAGCGACTGGTCCAGTTCGAGGAGATTTGGTGACATGTTTCCCTAACATCGGAACATCGGAGAGCACGAAGGAGTGCCTGGAAAACCGAGCTCCCGAAGCAAAACTAACCGGTTGTTCCGACAAATAAGATCCTCATACCACAGTGCCCAGTGCTTGGAATGGACCATCAAAGATCCTCATGTCATACAACATGCCGTCTGAGACCGTCATTTCTCCTTGGGACCGGGTGAAAACCGGTCGCGCCCCACGCCACTCGGGTCGCCCCGTCCCAACCCGCCCCGCCGCACGCAAGGCTCCGCCACGCTCCGTGCGGTGCCGAGCGGGGGAGCTGAGTGGCGGTCGACGGGAAGACGGACGGGCACCACGCGGCACGGGCGCTGCTGGTTGCTGGCCAGACCACGAGCGAGAACAGAGTCCATCGGGGCACGGACGGAGGTGGAAGCTCCAGGACTCGAGCGAGATGTGTGAAGCACTTCCGGATATGGGGCAAACCAAGCCGGCAGGAGCTCTCTCTCATCCGCTCTCCCAAGCGATTCGGAGCTGAGCTCCCGATTCCAGTCCTACACCTCCCGTTCTTCAACTGAGTTGTTGGGCCGTCCATCCCTTCACGTCAACGCTTTCCTCACCCCCCGACGCCCGTATTTCACCATCGGCCTGCCACGCCGCATATTTCACCGACCCTGCGCAGGTCTTCGATCGCTTCAGGGAGGATGCCATCAACGTGATCTACGCGGCACAGGAAGAGGCGCTCCGCCGCAGTCGGGGTCGCCCAGGAGAAACCGCGGCCGCGGTGGACGCGCCCGGCGTCTTGGGGAAGAACCGTATGCGAGGTGAAAAGAACCGCCCGGTGGAAGAACCCCGCCGGAGCCCGGTGGGTTTGGGAGGTGGTTTGCGGAGAAGAAGCAGGGAGGAAGTGTAAACCGTGTAGATTCTTGATTAGATAACACCCGCCAGAGGTGGATCGTAAAAGCTCCTCATATATATGGGGCATTGGGGGGGCTTTGTTGATCAAGAGTCCACATCATTAGGAAAGAGATTGAAAAAAAACACATGACAACTCAAAGTGTTTGATTCATAGGTTGTGAATAACATCACAATCACATCAACCAAACCAACTTTATCCAACTTTTAGATTTAACGATATTTAATGCGTTGCCCGTGCTTGAAAACGTCGGTTGCCTTTGTGGTGGTTTTCCGTTTCTTCCCAAATCAGCCACGAAAAACACCACCAGGGACACCCGGCGAAACTTAAACATCATGGAACCTGCCTCATGGACCAGACTGGAAGACGATTTTCCTCTGCAACCCATCGGTTTTGAGGTTCGGTCTCATACCCAGGGCGCGTCGCGCGTCCTTCGCAGAGCCACGTCGACAGAGGTTGTGGAGCCGTCTGCACCGAGTTCATCCTTTACGGCATCTTGTCCCAGGTGGCCGCGGTGCTGCCGCCGACGATGGGAGCGGAAAGCATCCGACCGGATGGTTGGGACTGGAATAAGCTATGTAGTACCGAGATGGATGGGTCATAGATGGGGACCAATGTAACGGCGGTCAGACGAAGTCATGGGTTTTCTTCGTTTCGAGCGTGCTTGGATGTTGTTCTTAGTTGTTTCTTTCGGTGTCAACGCGAGAACGCCCCGAGGGTTCATACCTGCACCCGACTTCAAGTACTGACAATGGAACATGACCCAATGGGACAATAGGTATACGGTGTACGACTGCACCCATGTTTGGGACGACGACCGGGGGTCCAGGAGTCCGGGTACAAGACTGGAAGGAAATACCCAGGCCTTCCCGAAGAAAAATCCCGCAGAGGTGATTTTACTTTGCCGTTTGCAGTGCCTCATCTAAGTGGATCGAAGTTAAGCACATCCACCCCGAAATTCAGACTTTCCATAGGTGCCATAGTCAAAAGTTACATGCCTAGAGCCTGAGTGACCCTTCTAACATAGCCCAACGTCCTACCAAAGCAGGAGTCGCATGACATGGCTATTTAAGGGGCTGACGCCCACCAGCGGGCCAGCAGGCCAACCATCAGAGGTTGTCTATTGTTGTTGTTGGTGTTTTGGTCGTGGTCGTTGGTGTTGCTGCTGCTGCTGCTGCTTCTTAGTAGTAGTAGTAGTAGTAGTAGTAGTAGTAGTAGTAGTAGTAGTA